ACAACAATCTAAAACATAGTTAATCATGGTTCTACTAAAAAAAGTACTGAAAAGAAACACACAGCATTATTACAAAAATTAAGAATAAAGCTGAAATTGAAATGTCAGAGTTTTTTTTAAAAAATCTAACCCTTCTAGTTATTCTTGGAACAGTATATTAAAAGAAACACAGTATTTAATTATGATGGCTTATTTCTGAGTTAGAAAATATTTTTTTCTGTTTTTTGTGGGCATCACCCCCCAAAAAACCCTTTATGATTTGTTTTTATTCATACTTGTGATTTGTGTTATACTAATTATTACTCTTGATTTTTAATTGTTTTAATAGAACTAGTAAAATATTCCAAAAGAAAGCTGAAATAGCCATTTTGAAAAAAATGCTTCCTAAAATATATAAAGATGAATTGGCAAATTTTCTTTCAATCAGATTACAGAAGATGAGGTTGTGAATAAAACATTATCATCTGAGAATGAAAGATCATCAATAGGAAACAATTTTATTATGGATCTACACATTGAACTTATTCAGGCTCAGCACCGATTAGCAGTTAAACTACTTATTGCAACTCAAGGTAGGTAAAGGGGATATAAACACTTTTTGGGAATTTCATTTCACATTTCATACTGGAGGACCATTCCAATTTTATTATGTTTCACAAAGATGAAAATATAACTTTTGAAATGTTTAGTATTTATTTATTATGTCTTTATTACTTATTTATTATGGATCCAGATTATTTTTAATCATGGTACTATTCTCAGTGAATAGTATTTATGTATTTCCAGGATAAAGTTGTAAAAAATGATATTTTTCCATCCAGGTAAATATTTGCTTTGCTTATGCCACATATTAGAGACTTTCTAACGTGGCCACTGTTATTCAATGTTTACAAGTCTGAAATAAATTATATTGTCTTTTTTCTTTTGTAAAGACACTTCTATGCTTTTTATATACAAATCTAGCTGAATAACGGAGACCTGTCACATTTTTTTCTGATTGTATGTAATCAAAATGCCCATCTTGTTCAACTGCAGCCTTTTGTGTCTAAAAAAATAGGTGGTCAGTGAACAGAGTTGGGTAGAGAATAGCATCAGAGTTGAGGAAGTGGCTGGATATTTCTAGGTTGGAAAGAAGTTGATATGAAGAACAAGATGAGTCTTCGATGGAAGGAATGTCTGCCTAGCAAAGGGGAGGAAAAAAATGGGCAGTAAGGTACACTGGAAGATGCAAGTATGTACTCCAGTGAAACAGCAGACTTTTCTTTATTTGTGTCCAAAAGCCTGCCATTAGGAGGGGTCCTATAGTTATTTGGGGTATATGAGACAACCAATCTGTCAAGGTAGTAGTGTAACTATTTTAAGAAAACTAGGACAGAGAAGCAGATAAAGCAGTTAAGACAGATAAATAGATAAAGCTGGACCAGAGACCACCAAGCATGGGTTCAGATTATTAATGATTCTCCTTTCTTGAATAAGAATAAAATACAGTTGTAAATATAAACCAGAGTAAATATTGAAAAAGAAATATAAAATAATTTGAAAAATGAAAGAAAAAAGAGTCTTAATGGACACCTAAACCATGTCACCTACCATTTAAGGTACCATTATATATTTATGTCATGTAAGTGTTAATACAGCAAGCTATATTTTACTGTGCTTTGCAGTATATGAGTTAGTTCTAGAACAAACATCTAATCCTGTTTAAAAAAAGGGACAAAGTTTCACTATTTTCAGTTCATCCAGGTCATTGATGTTTTGTGATAATCACAGTACATCGATAGTAAAAAAAGTCTATTTTGCAGTTCTTCTGAAATAATTATATACAACCTAAGCATTTATTTGACATTTGAGCAGACTTGGTTCCTTCATTACTTCAGGGTTATAGTTTGAGAAGCACAGATGTTTGGCACCTATCCTCAAATAATCAAATCTCTGGTTTAAAAAAACAATACATATATTAGATTATTATCTATTGATATTAGATATTATTTAAAAAAACATTTTGAATAATCTGCTAGATCTGTTTTGAGGGCATATAAAAGAAACTGCATTTGAAAGTGGTGGCTTCTACTTGAAAGAAAAATCAGAAGGTAAATATTCCAAAACCTACCCTCGGTTAACAACAGCAATTGGCACCAGAATTTCCAATATGTCGTAAAGCTTAATCATGGCAGTTCTGGCACTTCCTGTTTGCTGTCTTTAAGCAAATTACAGTAAGTTGTTAAATGAGGACTTCATGTGGTCAGCCATTACAATTTTCTGGCTTCCTCATTGACTTTGCTTCTGGGAAGCTGGCAAAGAAGATTGCAAATGGTGATCATGTGACAGCAGGCGGTTACAATGGTGTAATAGTGAACTGGGCCCTGAGTGCTCAGATTGCAGTCACATGACCGCAGAGAGACTGTGAGGGCTGGGACTTCAAGAACCAGTCATCAGTACCATTTGTTCAGTACAATCCAGTGGTGGGTTGCAGGCAGTACGTCTCACCCACCTGAGCTCCTTACCGGTCTGTTAAGTCTTCTGTGGTTCTGTGCATGCACATGCCACGTACAGCGCCTGTGTGATGCTCCGCTGAGCAGCTGGAGCGTTGCAGAAGTGCTAAGACGCATGCGCGCGCTGCGTGCGTCCATGTGGATGCCACTGGGTTCGTTCCAACCGTACTGGTTGGAACAGGATCTGGAACACACCACTGGTACAATCCCAAGTTCAAGTGGTTGCTGAACCAGTGGTGATTAAGCAAGGAAGACTTGTACAACTGTTACTTCTTCTGTGTTTCTATATAATTGTAGACCATATAATATGTACACACACACATTTATGCTTTTTTTTTAGACACTCAAAGTGGTGACAAAAGTCCAAAAGCCAAGGGTCTTGCAAGGAATGTAAACAAGTTAAAATGTCTAACAGGTACGTACTTGTAAAAATAGTCAGCAGAATCAAACTTTATATGAAGAAATTGTATTAACTTTCAAAAATTTGTTTTTATAGAATTGGAGATAATGGAGAAAATAAAAAAGAATAAATTATCCAGAGCTCTCTATTTGATGCAGAAAGCTACATTGATGCTTCCAGAAATATTAGATTGTTATTCTGCAAATCAGCTTCTGGAGGTATATAAATTATATTGTTAATTTAAGTAAATGTGATGTGTATTTATATTTTTCTTTCATATGATTATTTATTGGAGCAGTATTTATGAATTGTAGATTCCATACAAACTCAAAATTCCTGAAAATTGTCATAGCAATTCTTTTAATAGCAGGTATTACTCAAGAATTTTCTGTATCAAAAAGCAATATAGAAGTACTTTTAAAAGTAAAATAAAAATAACCTACAAATCTAGGCAAAAGCACTTAATAATGAAATCCTTTTTATTACTTTAAATGAAAGCTGAATTATTACATTGCTATAAAGCAGGAATGGTGATTTATAGGCTAATTCACATACCATGCTGTGATGAGTAGAGGGTAGGGATGGAATTGTGCCTTAAGTCTTGTAGGTCTGCAGGTTACGCATTCCAAAATTCAGAAGCCCCTTGCAAGCTAGGCCCAGGGTGACATGTACACTGTTTTCTAATACTTCAAAAAATACAGGGAGAAATTCAGTGATATAAATCAGTGGTTCTTAACCTTTTTGAAAGAATCGCCCCTTGAGCCATTGAGGAAGTTATAGCCTCCCTCCCCCAACATAACCTCTCAATCACAACACAGGGAAATAATTCTTCAATTTATGCAAACACATTGTTTGTTTTCTTTAAAATTGTCATCAGGACATATTGGTGCAAATAATTTATTTCCCTTCCGTTCCTTCGCCCCCGTGTTGCCCCTTTTCGTTCAACCACCACCCTGAAAAATGAAATTGCCCCCTGGGGGGGGCGATATCATCCAGGTTAAGAACCACTGATATAAATTAAGCATCATAAATAAGTAGGGTATTAAAAGAGAAGAAACCAAACTGAAACTGGAAAGAAAGAACAACATTTTAGTTCTGGAAAACTGAATGAACTTCTGCATTTGTTAATAAATTATAAATCTTACAAAAATAAAACCAAAAGCACAGCAAGAAGATATTGCGTCTTGCAGGAATGTAAATAACTGATCATTTGAAAAATAATGCAATAATTCTAATACCGTCTATTAAACTGTCCTTAGTTTTAATTGGTTTTTTCTTTTATACTTTGCATATGAAAGAAATTTAAATTACTTTCTTGGGATTTGTGTTTAAATTCTAGGAAGCATTTATTCTAATTCAGAAAACTGAAATTGAACAAAATACATTGAATGCCACTTTATTAAATCATACAAATAGCACGAAAAGCAAAGTTCCACCACCTCCAATACTTCTTTTTAGGACAAATTGTTCCATGGCATTTAAGCCAGCACCATTTGCTTCAGATGTGAAGGTAATTTATTTATTTATTTTGCTGGGGGGAGGAAGAGGGAGGAGCACTCTTGTGATTTTATGTATAGTATGTCATCAACTTGTTCTACTCTAGAGAGAGACATGCCTTCATTATATAGACAAATATTTTGAATGCTATAAACACAGTAGAATCGAATAACAAGAGTTGGAAGGGACCTTGGAGGTCTTCTAGTCCAACCCCCTGGTAAGGCAGGAAGCCCTACACCACTTCAGACAAATGGTTATCCAATATCTTAAAAACTTCCAGTGTTGGAGCATTCACAACTTCTGGAGGCAACTTCTGGAGACAATATTTGTTAGAATTTTAATATACACTACAATATCTTCATCCAATATTGAAACATTTTACACTTACAATATATGATGTTTTTTGTTCTCATTAAATATTAAAAGAGCAACATTACTGCTCCCATACTGTATGTTGATATTTTTGCACATTTAAAAAAACCAAAAAAACAAAAAAAAAACAAAACAAAATGTAAACCAAGTGCCACTAGATGGTAGAATATAATCATTTTTCAATGTTCTTTCAACAGGATT